GTACCGGACTGAGAGGATACCATTATGGGTAATCCAAGCAATCATGGCCTGTAAGTAGCCGAAATATGGCTATAGCATTACGTTGTGGATATTCTGGCAGGCAAGCGAAATTTTCAGCCTTCCTTTGTTTCGTCTTTATGCTATCTTACATTTTCAAATGATGTTTTTGTTTTACAGACTGCTTTATTGAGTGATGTGACATATTTGAATTTGTCGATTTCAGCAGCTTTTCGTGCGAGGTAATTTGCTTGATCATTTTCATAGATGCTGCTGTGTCCAGGGATCCACTCTATACCAGTTTTCTTATTTTTCTGCAATAGGCTTCGGATTACTTCTCGGCTCTGAAGAACAGTTGATATGCTGGTTTCCAAAGAGCCAACGTCTTGCATTTTGACTTGCTAGATTAACTGAATCAGATATCAGGACAGCATTCTTGAATTTATAATGTAATGTCAATAATTGTTTAAGAGCATTTCTAAGAGTTTCCACCTCACCATCAAATGCATTGCGGTTTTTCCCAGCAGAGGCATAGAAGGAAAAAAGCCCAGAATAAACCCCCGAACTTGCAGACATTAGATCATTACTATATGATTCATCTGTATAAATAGGCAACCAGCTCTGATTCGGAATATATTAATAATATTATATTAACGTAGATTAATGGTATTATATGAAAGTATTCGTATTGTATTAATAATATTATATTAACTGCGTCCAGAACAAGGCGTTTCAAGACCGGGGTTCTTGCATTCGATCGACTAAGCCAAATTCCTCCCTAATTTTATGAAAACTTTGTAAGAAGCCACACTGTGTCTTGAGATTTCTAGTTGTGTCCTGTAATTAGTCCAGAAAGGATCTTCAAAGAGAAGCAACGTTTTTTATAAGGTAACAGCTGTCTCTTCAGTAACAGTTTTGACGGGCAAACCTTTTGTTAACTTTAGCATAGCTTCACTAGGACTAGATTTAACATCTCCAGTAATAAGTCTCTTTGCTTGATTTTAGAAAAAATAATCAGTTTCTTGAAGACTTGCACACGTGCTGTTATGAGTGGTTCACAGTAACCTAGGATCAAATGTAATACGAATATCTCATAAATAATATGTAGAGTTGTTCTGGAGTATCCCCTCACGGAGCCAGCCAAACGCTTTAATGTAGCGCGAGCGATCTAAGAGGTACGCTTCTTGGCTTAGGGGTGTCCGCTAGATCTCGTATCCCCTACGTCGAGAAACGTACCATTTAAGAAGTCGCTTAAGAAGTCGCTAGAGGAGACGATGCTAAAGAAGAGGCCGGTTATGCTAGCCGCTAACTCCTAATAACAATGTCCACTAAAGCAGTTGCGATAGCATGTAAATACCGATAAATAATTGTTATCATTTTGCTCATATCGGGTACAGGTACATATAAAAGTACGGGGGAAACCAACGATGTACCATGGGTCAACTGGTAATGACCCATGGTATACTAACTCTTAAAACGCAGTATCTCCATAACTAACCCTTTAAAGAAATTGCAAGCTTTATAAGAGTTTACAAAGGAAGTTTGAAGAAATGGGGAACTGTATAATGATCAGGAGTCCCCTATTACCCACACATGCAGATGCTAGATTTCGCCATATTTCTTGCATTGAAATATGTGGGGAAGGGTTATATAGTAATTTAATGAAGGATTAGAGTACACAGATGAGAAGCTTACATTAAGGATAAAGTTATATGTGCGTCTTCCCTGTGTAACATTATTCCATGAATCTTGGCAGGACTTTAAAGCAAGTTGTTTTAGTTGGTACGGGATATTTGCGAGAGACTATGGAAGCGTGATTTCAGTACCATCTTGATATTAAGAGCTGTTTCTTTAGCTAATTCATCTGCCTGATAATTACCACAATGGCCGCTATGTCCTTTTTGATCCATGAAATTTGAATTTTGGTGTGTTGGAATTATAACAAGGAGAGAATTTATGTTGGAAATCAATAATGGGGCGGGTAAGAGATTCTCAATCGCTAAAACAGCTGCTTGAGAGTCAGATTTTATGGTAAATTCGTTGAGATTTTTGAGAAAGGCTATTTCAATCGCTGCTTTTATGGCTGACAATTAAGCCTGGAAAACATTAATATTGTTATTATGGAGATGACCTTTTCGTTTGATGATATTTGGAAGAGCAGTTTAAAAACAGGCCGCTAAGCTATTTTTTCCTTCAATTTTTGATCCATCAGTATTTGCAATTGGAGATGAACTACTTGAATTTTCATTAGACTTGAGGAATTTTATTTTGCTGAACAGAAGCGCTGGATGAATAAATTTGGAATTATTTTTCGTAGTTGGATAACAGAAAGGTTTCGTTTTTAAATTCTGCAGCTTAGTTAAGCTGAAAAACTTTTATCTAGATGCTTTGCATTTCTGCAGTTATTGATAGTGAAAGAGTACCATCTAAAGTAAAATACAGCAACAGCTGTATTTGAAGTTGTGCGATACGCTCGAGCAATGCAAAAAGCCTTTGACACTGTCATTGGTTATGCCCAAATTCTGGCGTCGTAATTTACCATTTTTGACATAATTGTTTTAGAAGAATTCGTATTAGATGGGGATTAAGCTCTAGTTGTATCAATGCATGCGTTGCAGGCGATTAGCTATTGATGTTCTGCGAAGTTTAATATTTTATAGATGAGGAATTGAATTCAGGAGAATTTCTAGTTGATTGTTAATCCAAAGTACTTAATTGTATACAGACTTGATTTTTTGGTTATCAGTTTTTAGAGTTATGTTTTAGTTACGTTTTGGCCTGATTTATGGATTCTTAAGACTTGAGATATACTATGTCAGATTTGCAATTTTTGAATTTTGCAAAATTGGATAAATGTATAAAGTGTTTCATTACAATTATCCTGTAAAATGTCTCTGGTACGACCGCTTGTAATAAAAGCAATATTGTCTGCAAAAGCGATAATTTTTTAGTGTTTTGGCCATGAATAAGCAATATCATAACACGATATTAATATCAATATATTTGTGATCATTATCATACCACTATATTATGACATACCCGTCAGGACCCCCTTATCCCCATGGACACAATTGAAGCTTAATTCGTAAATGCTACATGGCTGTCTTTGAGGTCTTATACTCTAGGACTGTTTCCATTATTTCGTCAGTAATCTGAAAATTACGTCTGTAGACCTTTGCTTCCATGTGCCGCAGAAGAAAATAAATCAGAAAATGAGAACTCTCGCGAAACGTCCCAACTGCGCGATATCAACTAACTTGCTTTGGCTAATCTTTGAGCTTACAACTATGTGGATGCTCTGTAGCTTCTTTTTCGAACTTCTTTATTGCCATAACATATTATTACAGCATTTCTGTCTTGTCGAAAATAAATAGCACTCTATGCTTTTTCTATTTGTGCAAAAATTGAATATTTAAACGTATGCTGGTTTTGTTAGTTACATTTCGGATAGGTGATTTTATAGTGGAATCATATAGTTTATTCTTACTTTTGTATTTTCTCTGTAAACTGCCATTCATACATATATTTCTAGAGGTTTTCAGCAGAACTTTAAAAAAATAATTTTTTATTCATTGGAGGAAATAAGACATAAAAACATTTCCGATGACGTGAAGGCCAGAATGACTGGGCTCCGTTGCCTGACAGTCGTGGCACTGCCTTACACAGATTAAAGCCCAGATCTCTGGACAATTATTTGTACTAAATCAAAAAAAAAGTTTTACTTGGGCATACAGAGCCATTTTTTTACAGAGTTATGAGTTACATTGTTCTGTTTTGGTCATAATGATACTTCTTGACATGACATTCATAACACTTTAGACTAACTTTACACTTACATGCTAATATTTCAGAAACACTTGGTACATTTTAGAACATTGGAGACTTTTTACACACATGACACATTTGATACATTTTACAATACTTTTTACAACACATGATGCTTGATTATGTATAATTCAAACAAACAAGATATGATTCACAATGCTAATGAGTAAAAGGTGTTACCTGCCTAAAGTATTTAACACCTATTACAACATTTGACACCTTTAGCAGAGTGCAACATGACCAAGAGATCAATATCCTTCTCTAAGCTTATCATTACTATACATACTGCCTGCATATAATACGTGATATGCAACTAAGATTTACAGTGCCGATATAGGAACTTGTCTTCATTCCATAAAGAGGGGTCATCATGAACATTCTTAAACAAATTTAAGAAGCCAAGTCAGCTTTTTATTAACATTACTAGACATTCATTTCGCAATCGTTTTTCAACGATGTGTCAGAATAAGAATATCTCTACTCATAGTCTTGATGAAATAAATGTATTTGAATCCATTTTTGAATCTTTCGATAAATATCTAAAATATCTTAGTTAATACCTTCTAATTTTGTAAATTTATAAAGTGAAAAGGCTACATCACATTCTTCTTGATCTATTGGTTTGTCTTTTAAAGCTTTAAAGCTATTATCGGTTTTCGTAAAATTTGTTCTGAGTGGTGTTCTAAACTTTATTAATTTATCTATAGTTAACTATTTCACGTCTGTCAAAAATCAGACTTTTTACTAAAAAGCAGCATTCCTCTTTTTACACGATTTTACACGCGAGCTATTTCGAAACAAAATACAATTCATAGCAATACAAATGAAGATAAATTTCTTATCTTCATCCTTCGCGCGCTCATAGTATTTCACGCTGGGTTGCCTGCTATTGCATAAAAACCAAAATTACTACTGTAAATTTGACAAAACAATTATTATTTATTATAGACGCACTTAGAATCTAATTCATAGATCAGACTTAACGTAAACAAAAATATGCAAAGGTGAAGAGTCATCGAAAGTTTCTGGGCATGCGCAGATGCTCGAGTTCAAACCGCAAGTATTCTATTTCACGTTATCAGGATTGCGAGATGGATATTATTTTTAAAGTTTAATATTAAAATATGTAAGTTAATGCTTTGTAAGTTGCCCAAAATGTATTATTTGATCTTCTACAGGTGTTATATCTGCTACGGAGAACATACCAGAGACACAAGCTAAGTCAAAATTTCAGAGGAAGGCCTCAGGCGAGTATTATGATGAACCCTGTGTCTGTCACCCAAGTTTCCAGCATGGCTGACAGCCAAGCAAGTACACATCATGGACTGCACTACAGATCTAAAAATGGTGATAAGCAGCGTGAAATCTATAATTCAGTAACAGATGGTAACAATTTATCAGAAGATGTTGCCTCAGTGTAAAGTGTAAAGAGTCTTGGCCAGTAACGGCCGCAGGGAAATCACATTGATTTCACCTGCGGAAAATCTCATCTGGCCTGAGGTCAAAACTTGAAAACATTTTATTATGATTATGGAATTCAATTATCAATGGCAAATGTATATCTAGAAATGGTTCTTCAATATAAAAACACATTTTATCTATCGTAAGGTGTCAGAAGACTACCCATGACTTAATCACCAGAAAAACTCATTTTTCATTGCTCTTTGTTTTGTCTTCAATATCTGATGTGGATCTAAACATTATGAAAACCTTTTAACTACTAAGGATGTACCTAGTTCAGAAAACCATTATGTCAAAACTTAGATTATTCCCTTTGTACAGAATGTAGATATTACCGTTGTATCTCTCATTGTTTCCTTTTCATGTGTGTTGAAAGAATTTTATATGCATATATCAAGTGGAATGCTGCCATTTTACTTTCTTTTGCATTTGTTTTATTCTGATCTTAATACAAATATCCTGATTTTATATTTTATCTTTCAACAGAAATAAGAAAGGTCATAAATGTTCGTGTGACACATCAGAGTTAAGCCGATCTTTTGTAAGTGGAGTGTAAAGGAAATATTCGTGTCACTAAAACTAACATTACATTATTTCATTTAAAAACATCATAAAACTGTAATTCATACTCTTATAAATTATTTTTCTTTAACCGCCTGCATTAAACAATCAAAAACATTAATTATATTTAATTATAACGTCTTAATGCTTAATAGTTTGATGTAAGAATAATGATGTAAGAATGGAAATTGTTAGATGGTGATGAAAAAGTATTATTATATGCAGTATTTGTATTGTATTTAAACATATACAATGTACTTAAATTACTATTTGTATTCCACTGTAGCCTAAATTATCTATTCTGCGAGTATCAGTAATTAGGAAGATCTTTTGATTATGTAACTGAATGAGCATCGACAAATACCACCAGTTACTACAAATAGATATTCCCGCTTTCCCAAGCAATTTTATTCACTTTATCTTACCCCATATCATTCCAAATATATACGTCTAATATAAATTCCGCTATTATCTCTTGAGTGATAAAATGCATTGCTTGTGACCTCAGCCTTCTCAGCTAGTGAATTAGAAACGATTTCAAGATTTCTAAACGTTTGGAAAACGTAGTTAGAGGAAACGTTTATTTTCATTAATAAACACATCAACAATTATAATTTTAAAAAATCTGTAAAAGAACATTATCAAATAATATCAGCCAACATATTTTATGAATGACAATACTAAATTTTCATTTACTTACTCAGGCTTGAATAAAACAACCAGACGCATTTTGAGTGAGAAGGTAACTTTTTCAGTAGCAAGGTAATTTGAGCAAATGTCATACTTTGAATGTGCTAAAACACAGTAACGCATGTATCACTTCTCACATCTCATTAAAGTAAGAGAATTCATTTAATGAGAATTCATTAAATGAGAATTTAAAAAAAAAGAAGAAGGACGCGTGTTTTTATTAAATTTATTAATTAAAACTGATATATATTTCCTGATTTGAAAGACGATTAAAAGCCCTTTTCTTCCTTTACATTACTTTATAAAAGCAAAATCGAAAGAATGATCAAGAAACCATTATCTGTGGAAATTGGGACGTTCACATAAAGACGGGGATTTTCACACTCCATTTCGTAAAATGTTCAACATAATCATGACTCATTAGACAAACACATACATGTTTGAACTTGTGAACAGTAGTGTTAGTTTTTCTATCCATCATCCATGTTAGTTGTAATCAACGTGTCGGAGCAGAAGACTTCTAATAAAGTTGCGCAAATTAGATTTTTGACTATTAAAGGTGTTATTCCATCTCATATATTTTCAGACGTAAAATCCAGTTTAGAGATGAATGTCTCTGTCAGTTTGCAATGTGTGATTGACGGAAGTCTGAGCAAGAAGATTGGGTGAGAACTCAACCACATACTTACTGTATACAACAACATACTTACTGTAGGGAACTGCAAGCATATTAAGACAAGCTGGTTGCCATTGATGCACTAATTCTGCTCGAACGTAAAATAATCTTCAGAGAAATCAATAATGATCTTGAAATAAGTGTCTGTTGTATGGACATATTATGATGCTTGAGTGCAAAGAAAGAAGCTTGGTTGCAATCACGCAACTTCTACAGCTTTATAAAATTTATGGAGACAAGTATCTAGCATGTATGATGTTCAAAACACTCTTTGTACGAGTGCAGAACTTCAAATTTAATGATCTAATTATTAATGCTGTTCTAGAATTAAGAAATTTCCTGAGAGCTGGAGCAAGCACATTGAAGATAGAGGCAGAAGCTTGGTGAAACAGAGCGCAAGTCTTTTCAGTGCGTTCAATAAACTTTACTGCGAAAAGACTTTATGATCCACTTTATATGGAATCCACATTATGAATTCCAGTTTTTACTTGAACATTATTCGTAACGTGCATTCCAAGTGAAAAGTAAAACTGATTTTTACTTCCTTATACAAAGTAAAGGAAGTGTATCCTATTTCAATGCAAATATTCATTTTAACTGCTCTCTAAGCTATTTGAACAATGTTGTTATGGTGCTATCTGTACGTACGGACACAATAAAGGATATCTTTTTCTCAGAACAATTTGAAAAATGGATTTAAAATGGATTCGGTAGAGATTTTTTTCGTGATGTCTGTACTTTGCATAACTCCAAAAGGAGTAGCCTCAGAACGGTGAAATTTTGCATATTGGATTGCAGGGCAGATGTTGTTGTGCACCTCCCTTTTTGATTGCAATTGGCCGCACCAAATGTATATATATATGTATGCTCATTCTGTTACTCGGCTCGGTGAGCGCAGTTTTTCTATTCTTATATGCTGCTAAATTGTCCATTTTTTGCTTTAAAACTTATTGAATTATGTTGTTCTTATGTTCTGGTTACGGTGTTTATGCCTTTAATTAATCTGCATGCAATAGCTGTAGAAATATCAACAATTTAAAAGTTGTTTACAATCTACTAAGCCTAACGAAGGCGCCTTTATTTGCATTTGAAACTTAATAGACTAGTGAATTAAATGAGTTTCTACACCTTCAGCGTCTTTTTGTAGAGTGGGAATAAAAGTAAACTTTCAGTTTTGTCCACCGAAAAATCTGCCTTCTTTCCTGCTGACCGAATTGCTTGTTTTTGCGTTGAAGCTGCAAATTCAATTGCAGATTGTTTAAAATTGCTTTAACTGTGCATTTTTATCTTATCGCAAAGTGAGAACTGAATTAATTGAATGAGAAATATATCTCTAATGAAATTTTAGGAAATAAGTTTAAATGAAATGCAGCAAAAATTGTGTATAATTTCATAGGCCGTACAAGGAAGTCATGCGGTGTCTACATCAGATTTTCTTAATTTAGTACTGCTTAAAAGTGCATTTATATTTAGGGTTAATTATGCTTAATAAATATGTTTTATAAATATGCTTATTCGTAGTTAAATTATTATATTTTATTAAGCGTAACTTAAAGAGCATTTTATTATTTCTTATGCGCTTGCGTGACGCTAAAGTTCTTTCAACACTTTTGTCCCAGTGGTTGCAAGCACATATTAGCTGTGCTCTATCATTAACATTTGGTATAGTTTCAGTCGTAAGAAGGAACTGTCAGGTCAATCCTTCTCTGAAGCAACAATTTTCCTTATTGGTTATTAATCTGATCTTTGAAAGTATTTTATTCATTTTTTATTTAAATTTGTAACCTTAATATAAAGCATGTATAATAAAGCATCTTGATAATATAAAAAGTATTTTGAAAAGGTGCTATTAAAGGATTCAGGCCTTGCTTCTTGGCATAAGAACTCTTAGAAATGAATCGCGTTATTTATCAACAAAAAATAAGTTTGCAACTAAACCGCTAGAAAATCCATCAGTTTTGCTCCTAAAATAAAGGGAAAATAAACGGTCAACTGAACCGTTTTTTATTGTCTGAGTTCTATTCAGTATATTATTTTTCAGTTTTATTCAGCATTTTGAGCTGGCTATGTTAACAGAAGTATGCTTTTTAAGTTTCCTCAAAATAATTACACTACCAATAATAATAGAGATAAAGACGATCTCTTTTCAGAATACCTATTACCCCAGATAAACTTGTAAAAGGAAATAAATCTTCATAGCATAAAATCTTAGACAGAAATCTGTTTTATAGCAGTTAATATACAAAAAGGTAAAGAAAAGGAAATCGATGTACTATATTAATGCAACTTTTTCTATTAAATGATATTAAACTGTTATAAAACAATAGATTTTCTAATCGATATTTGATTTAAGATCAAATATTTGTTGAAACACAGTAAAGTGTAAAACACCAACTGAAAATACTATTCACACGCATAGCTATAAATGTTTGAAGTAAAAATGAAATGTATTACTATATTTGCAAAGGAAACTCTGAGTGGTATATTAAACTACAGCCTTCAATTTTACATTCAAGTAGTAGTCACATTTAATATTTTAAGTCATTAGACAAGATGGCGCTTAATATGCAGCAGCTAGTAATAATTGCAATATGGGCTATAGCACACTTTAGTAAACTCAATTCACAGACGAGGTTGTGCTCTTTCGAAGTCAAACGCTCAAGACAGTGACGTTACATTAATCAAAGAAGTAGAAGAAACCTTGCTTTGAAGTACAAAGTTGATGACACCGCGCTGGTTGGCCTTGGTGGAGAAGATCAAACCTTGTAGCATAGTGTTCCAGAATGATCGCGGCAACGTGAGGCTGGCGATAATGTGATTTTAGCGTAGCAGTTTTTCCGTTACTATTCGAAAATGAGAAAAATATTTGCACAGAACAGAAAACCTTCTACCCACGTAAAAAAGCAGTAAATTAAGTGTCATTGCATCGTTTTCAGTCTGACGAAATGGCTTTTCAGTGGCGTTATCTTACTTCCTATAGCCAAAGTAATGTAATCACCCAATGCGATCAAACCTGTAGCCGTATTTATGATCCATTCTAAGCAAAACAGCGGTCCGAGCGGTGAAGCCGCTGAAACCTAACAGTTCGATCGGAGTTGAATTCCAGGCAAACGGCTGGCTACATGGGCGATTTTGGAGTTTTTCCTCATGGGTAAAAGAGAAACGAGCCAGTTTTCCTTAGAAAATCTTCCACGATGCCTCTCCTTCTTTAGGCAATTAGACCTAGCTATAATCAAATACACCAAACCTTACTCATCCTTTATAAAGTATATCCTAGTCATCAGAAACAATGATTATGTGATTAAAGTAATTTAACCAATAAAAATCAAACGTTTACTAAGATCGCTTATAAGGTATTTCTCCCACTTCCTTAGCGTGCCTTCGTGGTGTAGCGGTAGCACGCTGGGCCGGTATTCCAGAGGTCCGTGGTTCGATTCCCGGTGAAGGCGGTTGCATGTTTTTCATCGTTTCTGCTTCCGTATCAATTTTAAATATATAAGGTATTTCTCCCACAGTCCAAGCGTCCTTCCTGGTGTAGTGGTTCTGCACACTGGGCCGGTATCCAGAGGTCCGCGGTTCGATTCCCGGCGAAGGCATTGCTAATTTTTCATCTTTCCGGCTTTCGAAAAAATTCTAATGTCTCTACAAGTGGCGCCCGAACTAAAAGGGTTGTGGATGATGATTCTCCGCACCCAGGATCTGGTGACTAGGTCCCCTAAAACTTTAGTCGCCCTTTAAAAAAGGGAGTATATAAGGAATTTCTCTCACTTCCCTAGCGTGCCTTCGTGGTGTAATAGTAGCACGCTGGGCCGGTATTCCAGTGGTCCGTGGTTTAATACACAGAACCGAGATTTCTGTTTATTGTGAGCAGCATTCTTACAGTAAACTAAATTAGATGAAAACAGTTGTAAAAGGAAAATGTATAAGAGTTTTTCTCTGCATTCCACCATACTCATTCATATCATAAATTTCTATTGTTTTACATTGTGATATTGCTTCCAAGATGAATTAACTGTCTGTCTTCTCCTGCATTAATATTGTCATATACATAGAAAAACAGAGATTATACATGTTCACAACACTAAACATAAAAATAAACTGTAGCATTACATATCAAGAAATTTAAATTTTTCTTCAAATGGGAAGACTTTTCTCTGCTTCCTGTGAGAAATACTGCCATACATTAATACACATTAATCGTATTGGTATATAATTAAACGTTTTCTAATTTTATTAAGGTTGCAGTTAACTACTAAAATCGATTGAAACTAATCGAGAATTTTGCAGTATCCAATTATGCTCAGTTTCCTTAATCGATGCACTTCTCATGTGGAGGTGATTAAAGTCAAGCAACGAGTTGTTAGCAGACTCTCGTAATATCTAAGCTCACAGTCACAATATTTAAGCTCACTCCTCACTTTACAATACTGTATTCAAAATTTAGTGTCAGAAATATTTCGATAGCTCTATAGTATAGTTAATTTGGAGTATTACATTCACATTTTTTTAATATCTCTTTTAGTATATTTCGCGCCATGTAAAATTAAAAACGTTTTTCTGATAACATATTGAGGAATTTGAACTTTAAAAAAAACTTGTGATTATTTTATAATAATAAATAATAAAATGGGCGCTGGTATCTTTACAAATTTCATGCACTCATAATATATTTAATTTCTCAAAATTTTTTATATTTGTAGATTAAATAATTTACTTAATAATTTTTCAAATTGCTATAGTCTCCGAAGTAATTTCTAAGATATTTATTGAAGAAAATCAGCTCAGTTCAAAACTATGTAATTAAAAGCCCAGCTACATAAGTAAATTACGTTGAATTTTTATTTACTCGAAGATAAATTAGATTTTGCTAGTATTTCATTCATTTTTATATTAATTAGTACATTATGTTTGAAGACTATAAAACGCAGTGGTTCATTTCGCAACAAATAATGAATTTGATCGAAAACTCACAAAGAACACCAGACTATGGGATATTACTATACTCTTCTTATGACGTTTCCTTCCTAGGGCCTATTCATTGCTCAGAAATATCTTGAAAACTTTTATTTATGTACCAATACGGAAGAAAATTAAAAGAACAAGATGAATGGGTCATATTTACAGAATTGTTAAATTACATGTCATGTACTGTATTATGTGTTAATGCTTTATTAAAATAATATTTAAAATATAATTTTTTCTTTCTTTTGTGTAATACATGCATGCACATATTACAATTAAGGAAATAAAAGTTTGGGAATTTCTGTTTTATAGATTTTTTTTAATACTGAAATGTTTGTTTATTTAATAAATGAGGTCAATAAAATTCTGTATCTGTGATTTCAAAACTACTGATTAAAATATAATAGTCGTTTATAACAAAATCTTAAATACAGTGGCAAACTGACCAATTTGCAAATGAATCTTGGCTTTTGCTTTGCTTACAAGATAAAATTGTGTTTTTAAAATACTATATGTTTTCTTCTTAATCCATTCTCAGAGGACTGACATGTAGACAATTAAAATCCCTTAATCAGAACTTTAAATATACTTCTGCAAATGTGATTGTTTCAGGAGGATCTTTACTCCTTAAAACTCCTAAAGGGAGCTTGTTAGTGCCAGACAGTCATCGAAATAAGCTTTAAAAATAAGCTGTTTCTGAAAGATAGTTATTTACTGCAATTATTTGGTATGAAAAAAGAAAATCTGTACTGACCGTTACCCTGAGAGACAAGGCCAGCAAAATAATATTAATTAATTTTAACGAAGCTTGTAAAAGATCATTGAAGGGG